GGTTGCGGGGAACCCCCGCGTGCGCCTGCCCCGGGGCCAACCCCGCGCAGGGAAGCCCCCCGCGTTCACGCCACGCCTGCCCCGGGGCCAACCCCCCCGGCGCAGGAAAACCCCGCGCGCACCTGCCACAGGGCCGACCCTCCCAGCACTGGGAAACCCAGCACCAGCGCCTCCCCCGGGGCTGACTCACCCCTCCCGTGCAGTGCAGGGAGCCGATGCTCCCTCCCGCAGTACACCCGGAAGAGCAACTAGCGCTACTTCCGGAATCGCCGAAGTGGCGCTAAGCTGTGGGACTTCTGTCCATCCCCAGGAAGCCTACACTACCTTCATTTTCACTGGAAGTAGGTAGTGGGGCTTCTCGGGGGTAGGAGGGAAATGGGGGCAGAGCAGAAAGGACGCCTCGCGATCGACTGGTCGAGGCCTCGCGATCGACCAGTCAATTGCAATCGACCTGTTGGTGACCATAGACCTAATACATACATTTGGAAAGAAGACTAATCATTTTACTGATAACCTGTCACAGTTAAATGACACAAAAATCCTTAAAATGCATTTGATCGATCCAATATGATGTCAGCGATACAATAAGTTTTCTGTGTTTAAAGTTACCTGCTTTTGGGAGGAGAGGAAAACTTTCTGGCACAACGGAACAGATTAAGAACATGGAAAACGGAAATAAGCTTTCTTGCTTTTATCAGTTTTAATTAGATCTCCAATTCTGACAAAGCTTCTTGGGGCAGGAACTGTGTCTGTGCGATATACAACAATCAAACTATCAGCACATAGGTTTCATGTTTTGTTTCATGATTATTTATCTTAAATGATCACTCAAGGCACTATCAAAAATCAGGCACCTAAATGGAAATAATCTTCTAATGAAGGACATGGAACATTGTATTCAATATGTTTCAGATACCACAGAACAGTCATTTAATATAGGAGGTTGTCAAATAAGAACATCTTCATGAACATATCTATCTACTTTAAGTTCATCTTTAATTTTGGATCAAGGGTGCTTCACAGTACAAAGTCCCTGTTCAAAAAACTAGTCTACAAAAAAGATGCTAAAACGAAGTCACAACTCAATGGGATTTCCTCTTATCTATAGGCCTTAAAGAGATATCACAGGAAAAACAAGAAAAGGGCAAATACAGAAATCATCTATAAAAAGGGACATAAGGAAAATGAAGCGAATTACAGGCCAGTTAGCTTAATTTCTGTACCATGAAAGATAATGGAGCAAATAATTAAGGAATCAATTTGCAAATATCCGGAAGTTAATTTAGGTGATAAGTAACTGTCAGCATGGATCTGTAAAGAACAAATCCTGTCAAACCAACCTAACAGCTTTCTTTGACAGAGCAACAAGCTTTGTGGTTAAGGAAGGAGTAAATGTGATATATCTAGATTTAGTAACACTTTCGATACAACAACAACAAAAGCAGTCATGTAGCACTTTAAAGACTAACAAGATGGTTTATTAGGCGATACACTTTCCTGGGGCAGAACCACTTCTTCAGATCATATTCTGAAAGTGAATTAGCATGACCATTATATAACAGAGGGATACAATGAAGAAGTAAACAAATTATACAGCTACAGAAATTATCAGCTACAGAAGGTGGGGCAAAGGGATAAGGAAGAAACAAGGAAGAATTGTTTATTGTAAGTGTCAATTAGGTGGCTAATCTGGAGTTACTACGAATATCAAAAAGGTCTTTGTAATGTGTAAGATAATTATCTAAATTAAGACCCATTCACAACTGTCGAATTTTAGCATAAATAAAAGTTCTGAAGTCTCCCTCTATAATCTGGTGTTAAAGTCTCTTTGAAGTAAAATAGTGATAGAAATGTAGCCGTGTTAGTCTGGGGTAGCTGAAGCAAAATGCAGGACAATGTAGCACTTTAAAGACTAACAAGATGGTTTATTAGATGAGCTAGTGGGTCTGGCCCACGAAAGCTCATCATCTAATAAACCATCTTGTTAGTCTTTAAAGTGCTTCTTTGAAGTAAGACACATATTGTTAGGTCTTTAAGGGAATGGACAGTTTGATTAAAATGTTGGCTAACGTTTTGGTTTCTCTGTGTGGAGATGTCTGATTTGTGAACATTGATTCTCTGATGAAGTGACGGACCAGTTTGTCCAATATACATCGCAGCATATATCACATTGCTGAACGTACAGAAATATGAGCCCTTGATCGCATAACTGACATGGTTAGGTACAGTGATGGAGAGACGAGGTTGGGGGAGGGGGTTTCCAGTGAATGCTAGGCTCAGGTTTGGAGTGGGGTGGGGTGGGGAAGGGAAAAGGTGTGCATGAGTGTTATGATGCTGCAGCCACATGGGGGCTTGGCCCCAACTGGGGGCTTGTTGGCCAGGCTTCATTTTAAATAAAATATGTCTCAAAATGTTTCAGCATTGTCTTTATTTATGAGAGGGGCAGGGAACCTGTTTTGAGTCAGGGGTCACTGACCCACAGAAAAGTCAATCCGGGCCACACAAGAGAGATGATTAAAAAAAAACAACCCCTCCA